AACATAATCAAATCAGAAGAAACTCTTGCCCTCAACAATTTCCAGTCCATAAACCCTTGCAGAAGATGCTAAACAAACAACATCTGTGAGTAGTACTATCAAGTGGGAGATCCAAGCACAGGACAGGGCCAAAGTGAGAGGTGAAAGAGGCTTTTGCAGAGCCTTGTCATTTCACAAAGATCTATTTTCAGATATTTTGCTGGTGTGAACTGTCAAAGAGGCCAGGTTCATTTACTTCAGCAGAGTCTTTAACCCCTGAAGTTCATCTGTAAGTCAATAAGCAGTTCCCCGAGACACCAGCTGTTTCAGGATGAAACTCTATTTTATCATTTACTGGAAATTATTTGTGATCTTACTGCACTCCCAATATTAACTGATTTTTTACTTTAGGAATAAACACACCCTTTTAGAAGATCACTGAAGCTCTGAGCCTTTCACTTCCTTCTGTTATCAGGAAATTTATACAAATACAAATCCAGACAAAATTTAGTGAATTGAACAGAGTAACTATGGATCTATACTGCTGGAAAGGAGAAGAATCTCACTCACTTTGAAATAATGAGGAGACAAGCCCAAGTTTCCCTGGTACTACTCGGTAACTACCCCTTCTGCTAATATTTTACATTTGTTAATTCCTAAGCAATTGTTAGTGTTATTATTGCTCTGTGTATGCGTCTGGGAAGTAAAACAGGGAAATTGAAAAAGCACCAAGAATTCCAATTCTCTGTATTTTCATTCAAAATCGAAAATAAAAATGTTTGGTGAAGACTGTTCATGTGGTTAAAAACACAGGAGTGGGAGTCATTAGTTTCCAGTTCTGTCACAGACTTTTTGGGTAACTCAATTTATTTCTTGGTATTCTGGTTCTCCTCATTTAAAAGCTGAGGGTTATAACATTTATCTGTTAACAGAAGTAAGATGAGCTTTCCTTTGCTGACACAAAGGAAATATTTTGGAAACACAAAATAAATTAATGGCAAGATATGTCAGGATCACATAGGTTTTTTTTAATAGCATAAAAATTTTTCCTTGACTACACTTCAGAAACTGAACACAGAAAATCTAGGGTCTTATTCTCCTCTTTCTAGCAGTATATTTTTGCTATGCGGTAACCAACGGAATGCACAAGGTGAAGCGCAAACCAGCTCCTTGTATTTGGCCTGCAATTAGCCAGGAAGCTGGTGAAATCGAGGGTTTTAACCTAGACAAGAAGGGGAAGGGTTTCTCTTGTGTTTTTCGATTTGACACAGTCTGAAAACAAATGTTTCTTCTGGGCTGTGAAAACACAAATTCCCGAAGAGATGAAAGCTCCAAAATCAAAGTTTGCATATGGTTCCAAAAGCAAGCCCATGCCAGATGCAAATGTTTCATCTGAGATCTCTCAAAAGAGTTCTGAAGACAGTCATTCCTTGACACACTGATAACTAAACAGAATGAATAAATCAACACTACACTCATTCGCGAATTTTGGTATTAATTCTTGCAATGTACTGACAGCAAGAAATACCTGATCCTGAAACATCACTGAAACTATCTTATAGGCAGCAAACACAGACAAAGTAGTAACACTAATGGCAGCCTACTGTTGCTGAGACACAGAGGGAGCTAGGTTTTAAAGGCTGAACTCCACTTCTTTGTCAAAACCAATGACAAATGCATTATTTACTGTGCCATACTCATTTAATTAAGCAAAACTGGATTTCCCAGCTTATGAGTCAGGGTTATACATAGATTATAGAGTCAGAAAGGGGAACTAAACCACTGGTTTTACCATCAAAGCATCAGGCGGTTATCACTCATGCCAGAAGAGAACTAATACAAATGGGTACGCATATTGGAGCCAGGCATTATCAGAAGACACAGCTGCACAGGCTGAGCCAGCATGTTTCAATTGCTATGGAAGAGTGTGTGTGTGTGTGGCGGGGGGGGAATACAGATAAAATCAAGAACGCTGGGCTTCACCTTGGCTATTCAGACTGCTGTGGCACTGAAGTACAAGCAACATAGCAGTTTCCAATTCTGCCAAATACGTACGTTATTCTTCCAGTATATTCTTCCACTGAAATCACACGCATCACCCACACAGCAGGGTGGAGGATCCCGGCCTTCTCCTTGAGGGACCCTTTATGCCCCAGCGCGGGAGACAGTAGGGAATAGTCTGCCTTCTCTTTCTGGGCACACTCAAGTTCTCTCCTCTGATCCCTAGGTGGCCAAGATTAGAACATTTCACCTTAAGAACATTAGAACGTAAACCTCCCAGTTTCTCATTTAATGGAAACAAAGCCAAGCTCAATCAGCTACAGACTCTTGCTCACCAAAAGGGAGCCAAAACAATCCCCTTTTCCTCAGGGATCGTTGTCTGTCTCAGGCACACGGGGTTGCTCCGCTGTTCCCTCAGCGATATGTAGAAAGACATCTCCCTAACTCTTGGTCTCAGGCCAGACAGTTTGCATTAAAAGTGCACAGCTCAAATAACTGGGTCCAACCAATAAGGATTTTCTTAGGTTAATATCAAGCTAGATCTAGCAGCACCACCACCTCCAGGAACAGACACAAGTTACCCCAGAGCCCTGTGCCTGCACAACGCAGGTAACGTTTGTATTATTCTGTGGCTGAAGACATAGTCCTGGAGCTACTGGTACACTGTGGGGGCCTCTATGTCCCACCGCACCGTTTTGCCCCCCAGTTCATCAAAAATCTCACCTCACCCTGTATTTTACTCTTCTACCTTCCTAATCCACCCCTCTTTCCATATTCCCAGTATTTCGTGCCCTCTGCCTCCTCTCACACACCTCCCACCACTCTGGCTTCCTACCATACATTCCCACAGTCTCACCTCTGCTTAGCCCCCTCTTCAAAAACCCTTGACCTCTCAACCTCCCCCCCATTTCCCTAACCCACAATCCCGATTTCCCAAGCACACTACCTCCACCCTGTGTTCTCCCCTGGAAGTGCAGATTCCAGCACTGGCTCAATCACAGCTCAGGGTGCTACAGAGTCCATGGTCCAAGTGCAGAATCTGCTTTATCTGGGTGAAATACAACTTTTCTACCAGTAAACACACGAATTCCCTCTCAAAACAGCCCAGGTGACAAGTTACCACAGCTCAGTCACCCTCCTTTGACAAAGGGTAAAATATATCGGATTACATAACGTTTACTGCAGGGCAAAGCAGCTGTGCAAAACCTTGTTACTGCACTCATTCATGTATCCACACCCAAACTACTTCTCATAGCACATGGCTCAAAAGCTGCAACTTGTGCAGGCCTGTTACTTATCATTACTCCATAGATGGGCGAAGCTCGCGTTTCCTTTGCCAGCCTTTCAGGTTAAGATTTGGCCCCATATTCAGTACCTAAAAAAAATAAAATAAAGTCCAGTTCCCTGAAAGCATGACCTTGCTTTCTAGAAATGACATTTCTGTTATTCCCTGTATTATTGCTGTTCAAATTACACTAACTAGGATTTGCAACTTACTGTGACATCTTGAATACAATCAGCATCCACATTGCTTGGCACATATTCTTACTGACCTCAGCAGAGCGATTGCGAGAAAAGAGATGAAAGGGGCACACTCATTTGCAGCAGCTGCAGGTCACGTGAGAAGCTAGAGCAAGCATCTTTTTGATAACTCTGCCTTGAAATGCGATTATGATCAGAAGCATGACTACATATGAACCACCTTCTTACTAGAAGATGAGGCCTCCATGCATGTCCATGGTCAGGCGTCCCGATTACAAAATAAGGTTTTACTCACTTTCAGATCTCCTGCCTCTCTTCCAAAGAATCAGTGCAGCTAGAAAAAAAGGGGTCTACATTCAATTCTGGATCACGTATCCACAACGTTAACCAAGCTCCAGTTGCAGAATCTTTGCTAATGGCAATTACAAGTGGAAAGAGAACCCCAAGTTAATCAGCAGAAAAATCTTTTTCTGCATACTATCAACTGCAAACTGAGCACGCGTGACCTGGGATCGCCACAACACAAAGCCATTGTCATAGGCACTATTCAAAGTATAAACAAAACATACACTCTGCTTAAGCTCCACTGGAAAGCCTGTGTACACTGGTTAGATTCTCTGTGCAAAAGAGATCATCATATACGCTTACTCTGCACTGATATGAAGACCTAACTACACAAGCAACATAGAACCATCAGGTCATTCTCTAAGTTAACAGGCAAATCAGATTCTCTACTCCAAAAGAATAACAAATCACAGAATAGTTGAGGTTGGAAGGGACCTCTGGAGATCATCTAGTCCAACCTCCCTGCTCAAGCAGGGTCCTCTAGAGCATATCTCCCAGGACTGCGTCCAGGCAGGTTTTGAATATCTCCAGTGAAGGAGACTAAACAAGAAGCAAAGCAAACAACTCTATGCCAGTTCAGACAAGAAAGTGAATTAAGGTGCCAATATTTTAACACAGAAATTGAAAGGAGTTCCCCTAACATGAAAGTGAAATGTGAGACTTTATTAGCAAAAAAAGACACATGGGATGGCTCAGCTGATTTAAAAAACAAACAAACAACACCACCACCTTTGAGTCTGTGAGCCTTTGGGGAAAGCGCCATCAGAAAAGGGGATCTGAGAACACAAGAGGAAGGATATGAAGGGAGAGTTAAAGCTAGCCTACGAGCGCAGTTGAAGTGCGTGCATGGGGAAAAGAATTTTCTTCTGAACATCTGCTACTCTGCACAAGGTCTGACAGGCTAAGGCTCAGCCTGGCGATGGAGTTCAACTGAGTATTCTGAGTTAGGAGGGAAAAAAAAAAAAAAGAGAGAGAGATTGATTCCATAAACAGGTAGTATTTTTCAATCTGTTTCAGCTTGCAAATGAGGGCAGGGCTTAACAGGCCAGAACCACCATGCAAAGAGAAAAATTCAAATCAACTTGCATAAGCAGGTGCAGTATCTCTGACTTCTTTCATCTATTTCTAGAAGAGAGTCATACTACACTTTCAAAAGTCTAAGAGGTTGAATGCAAATGTCTTGATACATTTTGAGTTTAGCATTGGTTCTGCCCTGCATGCCCCAGAGAGACCTCACGTAAGTTAACCTTACAAACGGAAAAAATGAAGTACTGTAAGGAGAGCAGGCGTGCTGTATTTACTTTATTTCAGGAGAAATTAAGACGTTTATAACTTCTAATGTTTTGGTATGAAGTCAAGGTGGTAAAGATGTTGAAAATGCCCTGTTTTGGTATAACATTTTGCAATTAACATTTTATATTTGCTGAGTGCTTTTAAATAAGCATTTTCAATAATGGAAATAATGTGACAAATTCGATTCACTTTCCACTGTCTACACAATACAAAACTGATTAGGCATGCTTTTCACCTTCCATTCTTGTAACAGTCTCACGTTAAAGTTTCATAATCTTGCAACTTTCCTTTCCTTGCTTAAAAAGGTCAGTCCATACATATGATGTACAAATGGCATATTGGACATACAAAGTTCATTTTATTGCTTTTGGACAAGGAAAGTAAGATCATACAAATCTACAAAGTAAGTTCAAACAAATCACACCACAAACTATACTAAAACAAAGTGTATTAACAATTCCAAGGGCTTGCCTCCAAAAAACTTGGAAAAGCAGAGGCAAACGTAACTTGTAGACGTTTTAAGGCATTATCTAATTTTTTTGATTAATGCAATCTCATTCTATTTTAACGAGTTTTTTCAGGTCCATAATGACTGTGATGTAATGTACCCCTGTAGCTACAGACATTGGACTGAAAATTTTTTTGGATTTTTGTTTTAAACTAAATTATTGAATAACTCAAGGTTAATGAACTAAATAATCACGTTCCAGATTGCTCACATTTAGAAATGAGCACAGCTGTACGTAACACATTGTGCCAGGCCATTCATATGCCAATTCCTTACCCTGACTTTCAGAATTAGCATTACGTTTCTGGTTTACTTCACTGAGGTGGCAGATGAACTCTGTACACATCTTTTGCTGTGGCTGTCCTAGCGGTAACAGTACTTATCATCTTGTCCACATCCCTTTACCCAGCCCGAGGCAGCAGAGCTCACGCATCTCCTTAAAGCGGCTGCAAAATGCACAAAGAAAAGGTAAAAACACACAGGCAGGTTTGTAAATTCAGGTATGTGTATTTGGGTGTTTGCGGATGTGTATGACTAAGAAAATAAGGAAAATCTCTTCAAAGATATATTTTTAATCAGTCTTTTCCACTCCCTTCCCCCATCTTTTCCCTGGAGCAATCAAGCCAGCGGTTCACACAGTTGAGGCAGTAGTATCTAAATTTGGAGCTGCTCTGTAGTGTCCAGGTTTGGTTTGCTCCCTCTGCTGAGAAGCACTGCTAAATCTCAAGTGTGACAAGTGGGTCAGGTTTAGGAGCTGGTCAGTTCTGGTTCCTCCTGACGCTCTAGACACCAAGTTCTGGAATTGAAATGAAGACATCATTAATCAAACAATGCCAAAGCGACTTTTCTGATTATGCTGAAGGTAAGTGAGCTGAACAATTTTTGACTTTGTGGTGTTGTTATCCAGCTCCATTTGCTTTTTTGTGTTTGTGCACACTAGTCTACACTGCAGCAAAAGAAAACGTTTCCCTGTACAGATAAGGAACTAGAAATGCTCTGCTTCATGCTGCTCTCGGAGGAGGCAAGAAAACAGCATCCAGCACGTTCCAGGCTTTTTCTTTAGCTGAGGCAACAATGGTTATCATAGTCTTTAAGGAGATAGGGTTGCAATTCCCATCTGTGCAATTTATACAGCTGCAGGGACTCTTAACAGGCTATTCTTACCAGGCGAGGATGGTGAGAAGTCTTGTCTTCCAGCGAAGTCCGCAGATCCAAACAGCTGAGTGTGGGGTTGCTGGAAGGGATGGCATTTTCCCAGCCAATCAAGCAATGCTGTGAGAAGAGATGGGAATGTTGCATATGAATGCCTTCCCTTTTAGTCTGTTGTGGCCTGGTCTTTCTAAATAAGAACTTCTCCACAGGGAGCTCGGGAAGATACTTAATTTTTGAGGAGTTTTATATGACTAAAAGAAGATAGAGAAGAGATTTCTTCCCATGAAGTGAAACTGCATATCTGTACCCTCTTCTACCTTTCACTGGCTAATTATTTCTAAACTGATCTCCTGCCTTGTGACCCCAGGAACCTGACCTCTCTGAACTTCTCTCAGCTGACTCATCCATTTCCCCAGCCCTCACACTAGGCTTCTTCCTACCTTTTCCCTGGAAACCGCTAGGGAGGGCTAGGTCTGGTCAGTAATACTGCCTGCAGCATTGCCCACTGGCTGGAACGCAGGACCAATTCTGTGGAAACAGTTTTAAACTCAAACTTGCCACCAACTGTTGATTTTGCCTGACCACTACGCAATGTGGATATTTCACAGAAGTTTGTCGTTTAGACTCTCTAACATCTGTGGAAAGAAACAGGCACTCTTAGCTACGGTTCTTCTGGCTCATGCTTAAAATAGGTCAGGTAAATCATGCCCCAGAAGTATACAGCTCCATATGGCACTTCTGTTTCCTCAGCGTAAAGCGTTTGGAGGTTCTCTCTGTAGAGAGGATGATATACATTATATCAGTTACGTAAAGGGATGAATGTGGAAGCATGCACCAATGGCTTTTCTTGCTGTTTCAGTGACCCAGATCAGAACCTCGTCAGAGACCGGCTCAGAAATTTTAGTGCAACCCCTGCCTGGGTGATTGAGTCCCAGATTCTCTTTCTCTCAAGCACTGTCAGAATGACCAATCTAGGTTTTACTACCAGTGTAACAGTACAGCAAGAAGACAGCATCTCACCGAGGGTAAAGCTAGACTGTCGGCAGGTTCAAAGCTTTTCCTGTGATGGGCATGGTATTTGTAGGCAGGCATAAGAGTAGACCTGGGAATGCTGACCCTGCAACCACACAAGGGAAATAACTGCTTATACCTTCCACAAGGCAGTGTTCCTTCCCCACTCAAAATCCAAAGGTCTAATCCCAAAGTGAATCAGTTTTGGACTAGAGCCTTAGGACGCTTAACACGTACAGTTCAGGCTCTGGACTGCATTCAGAGCAAATACGCATTTCTCACTGATTTCAAAACTATTTCTATGTATAGAAAAGATCAATAGTATCCTTGGTGGTTTTTAAGCCAGAGATCCCTGGCTTATGAGAACAGTAGCCTTATAAGGAGCTATTTTGAAGCTGTCTCCTTCACATAATCAGCTTTTTCTTCCCCACTGTCTCCTTGAGTTCTGCATATTACAAAGTAATAGTTCTCATCTACCTGATGTAGGCTGGCTCTTCCCGAGTCTCTGGGGGCCAGTGAGTTCGTGGGATCTTACACACAGGGCAGGCAGATTCTGAATCCACAGGGACAGTGAAGAGGCGCTGGTTTAGTCGATAGCAGTAAATACCTGCCACACAGATCAGAGAATCATCCGTGCATTTCTAGTTTGTCAATAACTTCCTCAAGCTAGGCACCAAAGCTTTCTTTTACCACAATGCCACACATACATTCTACAGAGACAGAGCTGCTTTTCCAAAAAGCATCTTTTACATTTCCTGTCCCCAAATAAGTTCCTAAAAAGCAAAAACAAAACTCAATGTCTTCAACTTAAAAAGGAACTTAATCAGTTACAAGAAACTGACAAAGTAATAAAGACCCCGATGAGAGAGGATCCCTAGAAGACTCTCTTTGGAGCAGGAAGCTGAGTCTGGAGTAGAAGTAGCTGCTGAAAATAAAACATTCTTCTTTGACTTATGTGGTGTGGGGCTCTCCCACAAAGACAGCCAAAGACTGCCCAGTGGTTTGTTCACAGAAGTGGATTAGGAAGAAATTTGATTTTATATTTATGAGAAATCTGATCTTACACTTATGGGAACTGGTTATCAAATCTGGTTCCTGCTCAGAAAATACATAATCCAGAGCCTTGGGCCTAAAGAAACAAACAAACAAAACTGTCAGTGATTGGGAGGGGCAGGCCCTCTGAACAGACCCCACCTTTTCCAAGCATAAACTTCTGAATGGGAGGTGAAGGCCTACAGAGCCGCCCTTACAGTTTCCCACTCCAGCCGGACTACACTTCTCATTACTCTAGAGGGATCTGCTTCAGCGCTTTCCCCTATACCCACTTACTCCAGGTGGTGCTCATGGACACACGCTTCTTTGTTGGCCTGTCGAAATGCCTTCAGCTCAGCAAAGTATTGGTCAGATTTTTCTGCTACTGAAGAGTTTGTATCTAGGAGTCCTGAGAACAGCAAGAAGAGAAATGTTCAAGGCTGTATTGAACCTGGGCAAGCACCAAAGCAAGCTTCAAGCAAAACGGTCAAGACGGCCAAAAGTACCAAAGAAGGCAAAATGAGGAGAGCACATCATCATGCCAAATCAGAGATTTCACTGTGCGGTTTGGGTCCCTTAGGGAATCTGTTCATCTCAGTAACTTGGTATTCCCTCTGAGCACACTCAGCTTTGCCATTTGTGCCTGGATTCCCATGCCAGCTCCACCTCACTTTTCCAGGGAAGCATGGATCATCTGTGGCCCAGCTGAGGAATGGTTTCTGAAACAACTGCAGCTCCTCTGCCGAGACCTGTTATGAGGGCTTAATGACACTGGTGACTACTGTGTGGAACACATCTGCTTTTCATGCCCCAGTCCCAAAATATTTAGCACCAGCTCTAGCCCCATGGTTCTGTCGTAACTCAGACTTAAAGGGAAGGTAAACTGTGTTTTAACTCTTCAGATTACCACATCGTGCTGAAAGCTTTGCTTCAGGTTTAGGACTCACCTGCAATCCAGTCATAGCCCAGGAAAGGAAGTGCAGACCAGCTATTCGCAGGGATGGTGTATTCTTCAGGCTGAGATTGAAAAGTCACGTGACCAGCTTCCTTCTGTGATAAGAAAACAATTCACAAAGACTTCCTGCACATCTAGCAGGACACTCTAAAGTACAGTTTGGGAGGTGGCGGGCAACTGATTAAATAGGACAGCTGTGGCCGAGTTTGAGACTGGAGTCTACCTATACCCCTACCAGTAATCTGCTCTCCAGCCTTTTGATTTCTCAAGCTATAGAACAGAAAGAGGAGGCAAGTGACTTGCCTAAGGTTAGGCAGAAAGTCTGGGTCAGGGCTTTCCACAGAAAGCCGAGTTCCCTGCATCACGCATCCCCAAACAGCAGGCCCCTTGAGCTGCCTGGGAAGACGATCATGGCAATAGCCTACCCTCCAGGCTTAAGGAAACAAGCTATGTAGCAGCAGCAGTGCATTAGCCTGTTTTCCATGAGCATATGCAAATGGCAAGAAGTGTTACAGTGAGATGGTATAGTTTCTTGGCCTTTGATTCAACAGCTAAAGAAGGTAGAGAACGAATGAGCTGCTGACAGCCTTTGGCTGCGAAAACTGGGGACAGTTCTGACCTTGACTTCCAATTTACAAAGCGGAACAAGGTAAGCAGTGTTTTCCTGATCTTTCCCCTGTCTCCCCACTGACTTGTGAAAATAAGTAAGGGCACTAGTTTCAGTATTTACCTTCAACTCTTTGGACTGAGATATCAGCAGGATTGATTTAGGGGTTACGGGCTCTTTAATGAGTACAAGCTGCTTGCTGGTCTCTTCATTTTGTATTTTGCTCAGTGATGGGTCCAGATGAGCTGTAAACTGGTCTGTCTCTTGGAGACTGTGTAGGAGGACAGACTGTTTTCTGTTCTCTCTGTGTCCCAGGAAGGAGGATTCTTTCTCTGGACTTTCTGAGGCATGGTCATCCCTATCCGCTCTGGATATTTCTCTGCCACGTGTAATGATTGCAGACATTGGCAAAACACTTTGCTCCTTCCCAGGGAAGCTGGAATCTAAACCTACTACTTTCTGCATCTTTGCTTGCTGTTGTTTTCCCTCTCTGCAATGCCTGCTGAGCATCACATGTCTGAGTGATGAGCACAGGGCTGCCCTGGCTGCATGAGCTCTGGGTTCCACAGAAACCAGGATTGCAGGATCAGCTGCAGCCTTCACAGCACCAATTTGATTTTCCTTCTGTAAGGACAGAGACTCTCACACCTCATGATATCATCCAGACTACAAATACTTTTCATTAGGACATTTCACTTAATAAGAGAAATTCAACCTCTCCTTCTAGTCTGCTCACCTCTCTAAGTTCCCGTGGGGAAAAAAGAAAAATTCACATACTGCTTACAAGACTTAACTGTTAAATGCTGTTTGGAGAACATACAAAAGAGACCCACTGAGAGCTATACGCAGCTTCTTTCCTAAGTGGAGGAGCTGCTAAACTCAGCCTTTGTGCTGAGAAGCAATGAAAGGATTATGTTCCAGGATGCTTCTTCCTAACTTAGAGGAACCTACATATCTTAGGTAGGAAGCGATCTCTGAAGCCCTTGCAAGGGGAACATATTTGAGACCACAGGATAAGCAATAACCAAGCCACTTTTCTGATTCCGTAATCTACGTTCTGCCAGTTGCTCCACGTGTATACATCTCCCTTTACTGACCAACTCCATAGGCAGAGCTGCTGCCCTCCCTTGTAAAACCCATTTGCTTCCCAGCACTTCTAGCATGGACCCAACACATACCCCTCGCTTGGGCACAGGGACAGATATTTCAGCAGCTATTTTTTTATGAAGAGATGCTGGAAAGAGCGGCTTGCTGGGAAGTCTTTTTCTGATCTCTTCCTGCTTTATTCTGAGCCTTTCTAGAAGGTCCTGGTTGGCCTGCCGCAGCTTCTTCAGGTGCTCTAACTCCATCCTGTGGACACCTTTTCCTGTAAAGCCAGAGAAAGGGCAAACTGCATGAACGGGAGCATTAGCAAAGCAGCAGATTCAGGAGAAGCCAGATAACTACACTTTCAGAGGACTCTTCATAAGAATCACTTTCCGGTGTTGGAGTGTTGGGAGCAATCATTGCTCCTGAGAAATCAGCCAATCTCAAAACTCTTTAAGCTTTCTAAGAACTAGCATCACCACACATTTCTCTTCCCTCAGATGTGCTGTCAGATATTTGGGCCCAGAATCTGGTGGCTGACTGAATGGAGACGATAAACTTTTCAGAGGAAACAGTACACACGAAACACAGTTATGCCAAAAAGCCAGATGAGAGACACCTGATTCACAGAGACTGATATTTAGAGAGAACAACCATACATAAATCTGCTTTACTATATTCTTTTTAAGCATCAAAGTTCATATTGTGATAATATTTAGAAGTTTCTTAATATTCAAAATACGAATAGTGAATACGAATCATGTCCAGACGTATTTAGTCAAAGCTATCCTCCATATTCCCTAGGCAGGAAGACTCCAAAAGGCTCAGTGGAGTGATGACTGATCAGGGCTAGGGCTCAGGCAACTCCAATCCCATACATTAATCACTAAAGGTTGCTGTTCTTTTATTAGGAGAAGAGAAAAGGGGAGGTCAAAGGAAAAAAAAAAATGAGAAACTTATTTTAGAAGAAAAGCTACCATGCTATTCAGCATAGACACAACATCGCAAGCTCCTCTAAATTTGCAGAAAATGTTTTACTAAAGAAAAATAACAAATCACCTTTGGCTAAAGCGATCAAAAATGTTCTCTAGTAAAACCATGCACATGCTTCTCTAGGAACTTTGGTTCTAAAGGATTCCTAAACCCTTCTGCAAAGGGAATCTGATTTGTTTTTGTGTCTGCCACCATAGCAACTGGACGTGATGACTCAAATCCACTTACTGTACAGAAAAGTACTGGGAGGAACGAAGAGCAGCGCTAACAACTAAAACAATACAACATATAATATTTAAAAGAACGGAGCAGTGCACTACTGGACATCAAATAAAAATATCACCCTTGAGGCACTATACTTCTTTGAGATCGTTTGAGTAAAACGGAGGTTCTCATTGCATCTGCAGGACAAAGCTAACAGTATCCTCTTATCGTTACTCATCAGAAAGCAAATGTTCTGAAAATAACATTAGTCAAGGGACTTTTTAGAAGGGTTTTACCAGATGAGGTCCACTCTCGGCCTAACCTCAAGCAGCTGCTAATCCTTCATCCTCCACCCCAAGCGCTCCCTACCACATCAACCTTGGGAAACTGCTTTAGAATCTTTTTCAAAAGGAAGCTTAGATTCTCTCAGTTACAGAAG